TCTTCCAGCCATAGCAACACTCCTGCCTCCTGCCGTAGCGACACAAACCTGGCTGGCCTCCGGCGAGGACTTGTCTGCGTTGCCTGCAAACACAAATGACACAAATGACTCTGTTAGTTAATTGACGATTGGCAGCTACGTGATTGGGGAATTATTCTGTGCATTAGATTACAGTTTGCTTTCGATATGGCTCGTAACACCACTGGGGGTCGTGGACGAAAAGCCGATACCACTTAGACAGAAGTGTCACAGTAAAGTGAAGACCAAATGTCTTCACCCCGTTTTCTCCGGTTTCTATCCACCCATGAACACATCCCCTTGTCTTGTTCTAACCATTAACACCAGGTCTCTATGATTAATCAATATGTGTATAAATGTCGGTCCTATGCGTCCTGGTTTTGTGCTTCATCGTTAAATGCCGTCGTGTTTGTCGTGTTTGGGGAGTACCACCATTGAGGTGTTTGTTTTTTCGCCGACGCTACGTAGCACACTTTCATTTCATTCAGCATGCCTGTTTTGCCGTTCAGTGTTTTAATTCAATTAAAACCCTCGTACGCGATATCTGCCCGCGCCTGATTCCTCCCGCGGTCCGCCTGAAATTATTTGTGACAACAAGTTGCAGTATTTGAGCAGCGAACTGAGGAGAGACCTGTAGCCTGACCACGTGCCCCATGAGCTTGTTGATGACAAGCTGCATCAGAAAGGTATTTCATGTAAAGTCTTTTCATCTCTTTAACAACCCCCGAGGCGCCCTAGTTATTTAGGGCCTTGTGGTGTGGAAAATGAACAGGCCAAATTAATTCCCCCACCTCAGCTCCTTCCTATAGGGGGACGGGGGGACGGGGGGCTTCCTCTGGTGTGCAGACACCCTGACAGGATGTAGTTTGAAGACGTGAAAAGAGAACGTTACACTCTCTACTTACACTCCCCGGAGTTCTGGTGGCGTTGGATGAATACTTCGCCAACTTCCTGAATTTCCGTGATCCCCGATCTGATTCCACTCAAGGTTATTCCCTGACGACTATCAACAGGAATATGTGCTCCATTGTGATTGGGTTGCACATTTACAATACTTTATAATATTTCTGGCAGTGAGTTTAGGACACACCACTCAGCGTTTATGGATAGAGGTCTGTTCTGACTGGTGAAACCTCATCTGAATCGCGTTGACATTCGGTAGGAATTTACGGTTGTAATTTGTGATCTGGGAGTCCTCTGGAAGTTAGTCCTGATGTCTTGTGGGTGAAATACGTGAACAGGACTGGTGCCGTTGATGGAAATGTTAAACCACTTGTTAGCAGGAGATGGCAAACACTGTTATTCCCTGTTACCGAATCCAACACATGCACGATTCAAATGCTTTCGCATTTTTGAAAAAGGGCGATTTGGCCTACGAACTTATCGAGGGTATACTTTTGCAGGAGATAGGAAGAAAGTCACTGGTTGTAAAAGCGGCGCTGTTAAGCCAAATAGTGTGTATGGTTTCATGTGCGTGCCAAATGCGTGCCAGGTGTCATCAAATCCACGTACAAAATTGTAATTACATGGCTCAAGGTAAATGCTTCTCCTGCAGATTATGCACATATTACACATCTGGCCCAAAATGGTAGGTTTAAAGAAAGATTTTGTTAACCACAAACGTCTGGCTATCAGACTGCAACCGTCACACATGTGAACATAGATGTTCATTGAGCCTCGGACCAAATGCACAAGTCTTTGGGGTTCTGAGTTAACCAAGACCAAGTCTAACATGTAGCCCAGTGCTTTCTAAAATATCCCAGATGTCTTCCTAAAAACAGCCTGGGCTCCAGGGGGTCTGGAAGAATCTGAGACCTGGTGGAAATCCACCAGAATAGCCCACGGTAGGAGAGGACTTTGGGGTGCTGAAGTGTGACAGGTGTCCCTCAGTGATTAACAGTTGCTTTGCTACCAGCCACATTTAGATGAGCAGTTCTGGCAAAGGAGTAAACATCATGAGAGTGTATATATATGTGTGTGTGTTTCCCATGCAACACATGCATCATATGCCTTATTCATGTATGCAGAAGTATGCTGCTACTGACGGGAAATGGTGCCTGCTTGCTTGCTGTAGCGGTAAAAAACGAACATCATTATTGAAATGCGTTTAAACGCTCCCAACACACAAGTGTCAGTCCAGAGTGGTTTGGGTTAGGCTCAGAAGCTGTTAGGGGTGTGGTCTAGGGACGTGACAAACGCTCTAGCGGTCCGGTTCCCATGACGTTACAACAGAATGTAGCGACTGTGTTCTCAACCGTCCAGGTGATCCACTGGAATTCACACGGATCATAACGCCAGCTTCAGCATTAACAGACGCCGCATTTAAAACGCACAACCTGTTTTACACTGTATGAACAGACCAATGTCACAGTCTGGTGACTGTAACTGCATTTAAAACACACAACCTGTTCTAACGCTGTATGAACAGACCGTAATAACCGCCTGAGGGCCATAACTGTATTTAAAACACACAACCTGATGTATGAACAGACCGTAATAACCGCCTGAGGGCCATAACTGTATTTAAAACACACAACCTGATGTATGAACAGACCGTAATAACCGCCTGAGGGCCATAACTGTATTTAAAACACACAACCTGATGTATGAACAGACCGTAATAACCGCCTGAGGGCCATAACTGTATTTAAAACACACAACCTGATGTATGAACAGACCGTAATAACAGTCCGAGGACTCTGACTGTTACTGATTGATTGAATGCTCACTTACCTGTTGACCTCAGCACTTTCAGAGGAAACACAGAGCAGGAGTAATAGAGCCCCGGTCCAGATGAGGAGCTGCATGTCTCTGTTGGGCTGTGGTTCTGTCTCCTTTCCCGTCTCTCTTGCTTCTGTCTCAGCCTCTGCTGTGTAATGCTCGTCCCCACAGCGGTTCTCTCTTAGTCCATTCAGTCACACTGGCGGCCCGGGAACGAGTCTGATTTGAGTCCTCAAACAAGCCTCTCTGGTTGCTCCCCCACACACACACACACACACACACACACACACACTCACACTCCCCTCTCTCCTGATAGGACCTGCGTCCCTATGTCATGCCCTCTTTCTCCTCCTCCCTTCTCTCCCCCTGCTCCCCCACGCTCCCCTCTTCCCCATTTGTCTTTTCGTCTCCCTCCCCCTCCCAAACTCCCACCCTCTGCAGCAACCACGTATGTTTTAATGCTGATATCCTCGAGGTAAGGTTGTGATTCTCAAACTCACAGTGCACGGTAAAACCGATCCAGGGACCGTGTGGTCACAACGTTCACAGGATTTCCCAATCAATATTTAAACATACGCTGTGGTCGCCGTTGCAGAAATACTTACGGGCAATTACCTTGGATGGTTGGAGAACTTTGGGAGCCACTGGAATAAAAAGCATTTCAATGTCTAACATACCTGAAACATATGGGAGACGTGTGGACTCTTGCCCGGCGATATATTTCACGATGATACCACTTCTATACTGATTTGTTCTCCCCTCAGTTGTCAGTTGTGATCGTCCGTTATTTCCCTCTGGTTTTAAAAGTTGCACTCATTTTAGCCATGCCAAGCTCAGCTGCGTTCCTAGTTGGCAATTAGCTGGATGTCCTGTGTTAATTGTGGACTCCCGTCGTGTCCGGGCCTGTAATTAGGAGACAAACTGCCCATTTGGGTCCTTCACATCACCAACACCATTGAGCCCTTGTCCAATAAATGCCATAACCAGGAGAAGCTAGTCGTAAAGTCATAAAATCCCTCCATGAGTTTGCAGCCTCTCTAAGTGACCTCAAACATCTGGTCTGGATCAGGCTGTGCCCTCAATATACACCACAGACAATGGTGTTCTGGGGATATTTGTGGTTTCTTTTGTGTTTTGGGATCCGAAGGTATTTGTTCCATCAAATGTTTTATTGTGTTGCCAATTGAACCAAACTGACTTTTTTTTTGTTTCCCTTAGAGACATTTGGAATGCACTACTTCGCCACAATCTACATATAGTGGTCATTTCTGGTCACATGTTAACGGAACGTTACTGTAACTTGTCGAGCAGAAGGACTGATGTGTTTATGCTTGTGGTTATAAATGTGTTATAAATGTGTTATAAATGTGTTATACATGTGGTTATAAATGTGTTATACATGTGTATATACATGTGGTTATAAATGTGTTATACATGTGGTTATAAATGTGTTATAAATGTGTTATACATGTGGTTATAAATGTGTTATACATGTGTATAGACATGTGGTTATAAATGTGTTATACATGTGTATAGACATGTGGTTATAAATGTGTTATACATGTGGTTATAAATGTGTTATACATGTGTATATACATGTGGTTATAAATGTGTTATACATGTGTATAGACATGTGGTTATAAATGTGTTATACATGTGTATATACATGTGGTTATAAATGTGTTATACATGTGTATAGACATGTGGTTATAAATGTGTTATACATGTGGTTATAAATGTGTTATACATGTGTATATACATGTGGTTATAAATGTGTTATACATGTGTATATACATGTGGTTATAAATGTGTTATACATGTGTATATACATGTGGTTATAAATGTGTTATAAATGTGTTATACATATACATGTGGTTGAATGTGTCTCTTTTCTGCCGGCTCTACACTCTTCGCTCAAGGCTGTAGCCTCGTTACGAAAGACTACAATCGTCCCTGGATGTTCTAGCCTCACCCCTAAAGACTCTACCCTTGTCCCTGGAGGCTCTAGCCTCGTCCCTGGAGGCTCTACCCTCGTCCCGGGAGGATTTAGCCTCGTCCCCAGAGGCTCTAGCCTTGTCCCTGGAGGCTCTAGCCTCGTCCCGGGAGGCTCTAGCCTCGTCCCCGAAGGCTCTACCCTCGTCCCGGGAGGATTTAGCCTCGCCCCCGGAGGCTCTAGTCTCGTCGCTGTAGAGATCAGCCCAGCCACTGTTGTGCAGTCAGAGTAACTGAGAATATAGTGGCCTGGAGCATAACGGCACCAGAGGTTGGTAGCTCACTGGTAGAGTGCATGCTTTGTGAGCATGATGTCCGGGGTTCAATCCCCAGCTTCTCCCCAGGTTGCCGTTGCAGTTGAGAATTTGTTCGTCCAGTAGCACCCAGCTGAACCCTGTCCCGGGTCTCCAAGGGTCCACGGGTCTTACATTAATAAACAGCCTAAGCTGAAGTGCAGTTTGATTTGGGGTTTGAAAGCTTTGTGGTGTATATATCCTGATGGGTATCACACATGTTAAAAGATTCAGTCTATCTGTAAGCCTCCACACAATAAATGGTTAACCACAATGGTTTTGGCTTTCACGCAACAGGAAGAGAAGAAAGCACAATGAAGTGGTATAGGTTTTGAAGAAAGCCCTGTCATTCTTCTGTCTGGTCAGGAAGTGCTGTACTGTAAAAAAACACACAACCAAAGTCGACTAGGGGGAATGTCTGTTTTTTCACACATTATCTACGCAGATATGTAGGAAAAGTGGTTAAAGGAGGCATATGTTTCTGTTACATTAGTACCAAATACCTCTGGCGGATCAGAACATGAAATTATCTTAATTTAGCATATTTGGTGCCAATGTTGGTTGAAAACCTGAAGAGAAAACATGGAACTCTGCTCAATTCTGTTTCTGGACTTGACTTTTGCATAAATCTTGGAATTGAGATCAAAGTTAATTAAGCTTCATCTGTCTCTGGGTTAATCCGAAGAAACAATCCTGGGGCGGACTAGACAGGAGAGACGTGGCTTAGCAAGTCCGTAGTAGCAAAAGGAAACAAGCCCTGATTTCAGCGCAGGAATAATAATGTAATCAGATCTCTGAGGTGTTAGGAATGTCTCCTGCCCTCTAATTTACACGGATGACATTTCTATGAAACTACATAAATGCATGTGATCGAAGAGGAATTTGAAGGGTGCAAATAATGTCCGGATAAAGAAAACAATTCGCTCACTTCAAAGGCAGAACATATTATTCCATGGAATGCTTGAATGCTGTTTCACTTTTTGGATGTTTTTCCAGTTTCGTTTTTTTTCTCCAATTGATGACATGTCCTCTTATTTCTGTGATCGCGAGGTGTGATGAAAGTGAGCTGGCAAATCTGGCACCTTTCAGCAGATTGTACGTTTAGGTCCAGGTGCCTTGCAGATCTTCAGCTCTTATCAAAAATGTTTGCTGAAATTGTTTTTTCAAAAGCTACGTTTCTCTCCATTGAAATTACCTCAGATTGTTCAGAAATAGAGTGTAGACACTGTTAATGGCATATTTGGCAATACTTTGACCTAGTATCATCAACATTCAGTCCTGTGGTCCAACGGCTTGTTGTTTTTTGCTAATCCAGTTTATCGTTTTATATTGCGAATAGATCATTAAAAAAAAATTTGAGATTACGTTAGCACATCGGAAATCTGTTGGGCTGATTAAATAAGCAATACAACTGTCCTTAAAAATTGGTGAGTATAATTTTTAGGAGAAATTAGGGCTATTCCACGAGAGAATACAAACTGTCTCTAACCAGAATAGAAGGAGGAGTGGGAGGCCCCGGTGCACAACTGAGCAAGAGGACAAATACATTTAAGTGTCTAGTTTGAGAAACAGACAACCAACAGGTCCTCAACTGGCAGCTTTATTAAATAACACCCTTAAAACACCAGTCTCAATGACTCAGACTGGACAATGGACAATATTTATTCATTAAAATGGTCAAAAGAACACAGACACTCGAAGAGAAGAAGAAGAAAAGAAGAAGATTGGAAAAAGTGTAATGGACAGACTTATCTACGGTTGAGGTGTTTGTATCACGCAGACCATATGATAAGGTGCTGTAGGAGTGCTTGGGCCATCTGCCAAGCATGGTTGAGGCAATGGGGTGCTTTGGTGGTGGTAAAGTGGGAGACCCAAAGCACAGCAAGAACTATTTAGGGAAGAAGCAGTCAGCTGCTGTTCTGTCTGTAACACTGTGGCCAGCACAGTCACCGGATCTCAACCCTATTGAGCTGTTGTGAGAGTAGAGTGACTGTAAGGTATGTAAGAAGTGCCTCTGTCAGCCTGGACTGCCCAGGTCCTGGAGGATGTATGCCCAGACTCGAGCAATAGAGCCTTAACTGTCCGGACGAGTGACTGCCTTGCTTCCAGCTGGCTTTGACAACATGACAATTCCCACTACACAACAGCACCCTCCTCTGTCCTAAAGATCAATTGAGGGGTGGTGGTGGGGGGGGGGTTCGGTTGTCAGGGGAAAACACTCAGGGATATCCCGGTGGACACTGGGCGTACTGGACACCACTGGCCCCCACCACTGGTCATACTGGACACCACTGGTCACCCACCTTCCAGAGAGGCTCCTATTTCCTCCGAGCGGCTTTCAGTCTTCTTGACAGATGCTGCCTCTCTTCACGCCAATCTGCTGTTGGTTTTGCTATTCAACACCAGATGTGCTACAGATGGAGGAACCTCATGTCATGCCTGTTCGCTACAGCATAAGAAAAGAACCGGGCAGCAACATAGATGGTTGAATTAGGAGGTGGATTGTATTAAGTAAAAAAAAAGAAAACGGCACCCTTTTTAATGCCGCAATAGGCCTACTTGATTTCCATTCCCTTTGCGTTGGATGACTGTTCTCCAGAAAACAGGTTTTTTAAATTACTTTTCTATATATGTAATGTGTAATGAAAGTCTGCACTCTCACAATAAAATGTTCCTTGGAGTTGTTTCTTTAGGGATTCTTCGCATTCGTTAACCTTTGTTAACCTTTTCTATACACAAGTGCAACTACTTGATTTTCTGGTCTGCAGTAGTGCCTGATTAGAAAGAGGAGGACCAGAGTTGAATAGCTCTCTGTAGAGTCCATCCAAGGGTGTTTGATATTTTGCACTCCATTCTCATGTCCCTCCCAATCAAATATCGACAAACACAAGTATCAAGGCTCGAATGATGAAAACTACAGACTTATTTTAAGTCTCCACAAGGGGGGTGTGTTGAGCTGATTTAACTCAGACCCTCTCCACATTGCTAGTGACCAACATTAGCTGCTTGGTATTAGCTGCTTGGTATTAGCGAAAACAGTTTGTGTTGTGTTTGTACTTGGATCCTCTGACTGCAAATTGTTTCATTATGAGCTGGCAGAAACATCACATAGTCGGTGGCTGTGATGACAATTGACATAACTGATGGCCATTCTGGTCTACCACTGCATGTCTGTTTCTAATGTAAAATGCTTTCATCGCAGTATTTATAAAATGGCAATCGTTGGCATTTGGACAGGCTCATATGCAATAATATCCAGGGTGAATGCAGAATGTTTATTAAAATGACATAGATTGATTTTTCCATTGTTCAACCTGGACTGAGGTGGCTGATGCAGACACATTTTTTAAAAGCCTTTTAAGTTTATTAAAAACAAATCACAGCAACTAATGGGTCATTTCCTGCTTTAACTTCCTGCTTTCCTTCTAGGTTTAACAATACATGGTCTTGAAGTATCCCATAATGCTTTTCGCAGTTACTCCCTACGTTTCCAGCTTTTGCTTAAGGACGTGACTGGCAGTATAGCAGCAAGTCAGATTTGATTAAGTGTTATATTTAAAATTACATTGTGTTACCCTAGTATTGTTGAACTTTGATTCGCCGGAGACACAGGGGTTGCCAGTCTGTCCAGTCTGTTCTACTTATTGTATTTCCACGTCCGTATCAACATGCCTATGAGGAGAACTGCAATCAGAAGTACAGTTTGAACATGTGTGGTGGTGGCCAATGGTCACCGTTCAATCAGTCCAGATTAATTTATTTGAATTAGGTAATAAGGCCTTCTCATCGCATCAGAAGGGGACTACTCCGGTATGGTTATTTTGACTCTGATGTTTGTCACAAAAATATTAAAAGGCGTTCTTTATTTCAGGCTTTTGAAAAAATGAATTACGTCCTAAATTTAAAAAAAATGTTAATTGAGGTTTTATTTATTTTTACAACTATAGGACATGATTCACAGGAGGAGTCAGATAATGAGATTAAAATATATGCAGAATGTCTAATAATCTTTGTATGATTCCAGGTCAAAAAATAAAATATAAAAACAAGGTATCTGTCACCAGAGGTCTCTGTTTGCTCATGTTTCAGTCTACAGAGAGGAAGTTGTATTTTCTCACATCCTGAATGAGAAAAATGTATGACAAATCACCGAAAGAAGTGCTGTTCTCACGTCCATTTTGCTTTCTCTGTGTTGCAAACACTGGCAGGATTTCCACAGAGAAAACAACATTTGCCAGGTCATTCAGTATGTTGAAAGTCAATGGTTCTCACTCTCATAAATAATAAAATATTGTTTTTGTTTGAGCAAGTTAATGTCCTCCCGGGTTTTGATTAAAAAAAACTTTTATATAGGGCCTAGCATGCTATGATATGGCAGGAAATATGTTTCTTGATGATGTTGTACCACAATACTGTGGAGTCATATAGCAAACTGCAAACTTTCAGGAAGTTGTTCAGCCCACTTCCTGGATTTCAGTTGAAGGACTAGACAGGACTGGATATCAGGCGGCCTAGACAGAAAACCAACACACATAAAGTGGTAGACTGACCCATTAGTTAGCACTAAGTCTGCAGTATGCACATGAGCATATGATAGACTACAGCATAGACCAGGAACAGAACAGAACATGAGAGTATTCTAGACTACAGCACAGACCAGGAACAGAACAGAACATGAGAGTATTCTAGACTACAGCACAGACCAGGAACAGAACATAAGCTCATGCTAGACTATAGCACAGACCAGGAACAGAACATAAGCTCATGCTAGACTATAGCACAGACCAGGAACAGAACATGGGGATATGCCAGACTACAACCAGGAACAGAACATGAGGGTATATGCCAGACTACAGCACATACCAGGAACAGACTGACGAGGCATTTTGATTATACATGGTTGATCGCAAATATTTCCAGATTAGTTATTGAGCAGATGTCCTTATCAAGATTGACTGACAGTTAACGTAGCGATGGAAAATGATGCCTATATCTACAAAGCCCTGCATTAAGTGAGTCTGTCAGCTCTCTGTGCTGTATAGGACTGT